CTGAGAACAAGGCCCATCTCTCATGCAGTGTGTACTATAGTTCATTCCTTTTTATCGGGTCAGGGTCCCACCGAATGGCTAACACCACATGCTGTGTGTCCACTCAGCTCTATTAAGAGGGTGTATGGGCTGATGATGAGCACAAGGCTTTGTGGGCCATGGTTTCATTTCTCCTGGGGAGGAAGGGCGTTCCTGGCTATGTAAGTTGTGAAGTGACAGCTTTTCCATAGTTGCATGTTTCTCCACAGCCAGCCCATGCTTCCTGGTAATGTTCTGTCTGTGACCAACCTAGTGAGGACTCTTAGCCTGGTGTGAGGACTGATGCTAAGATCTTTATTAGCCATTCATCTACTGACCGTCTTTGCCCATTTTAATGGACTAATTGTGTTGATTCTTTGTACATTTTGAATTGTGAATCCTTTATTAGATGAGTGATGGGCTTGTCTTCTCTTTTTTTTGGTTTTGGGAGACAAGGTATTTCTATGTAACACTGGCTATAACCTCACTCTGTAGACCAAGCTGGCCTTGAACTCAGAGATCCACCTGCCTCTGCCTCCTGAGTGCTGGGATTAAAGGTGTGTGCCACCACTGCCTGGCCAGTGTTCCTTTTCTTACAAAAATTTTAATTCTGACAAAATCTGAACTATGTGGCACACTCCTTTGACCTCAGATCTCACGAGGCAGAGGCAGGTGGATCTCTGCATTTGAAACCAGCCTGGTCTACAGAGTTCCAGGCAGCCAGGGCTACTCAGTGAGACTCTGTTTAAAAACAATCTGATTCTTTTTTCTGTTATGGTTTTGGTTTCACATGTAAGAAGGCTCTTTCTAACCCAAAGTAACAAACATGTTGATACTTTCCTTCCAAGTTAGAGGACATTTATTATTCGTCTACTTGGGCTTTGAGACAGGGTCTTGTAACCCAGACTGGCTATGAGCCCAGGACGGTCCTGCCTGAGTCTCCTGAGTGTGGGGCTCACCTGGCTACTTCTTACACACGCCTCCTATCTGTCTTGGGTCCTGGTGTGGAAGTCTGAGAATATAGTCTTTGTGTGTAGATATCCAACCATCACAGACTTATCTGCTGTTATATTTAGTCTTTCGTCCAAAATGTAAGATTCATAGATGCCTTTACTTGGTTTATACTGTGTTTGTTTCTAAATCAGCCAGCTTAAATCCTATAAATCTTTATCAGAATTATTTTGACTATCTTGTCCCTTGTATTTCCATAGGATAAATCTGTTACTTCTGTTTTGAGACAGGGTCTCATTATAGCCTAGCTGACCTCAAACTCACATGACTCCTGGTTTATGCTGGGGATCAAACTCAGGCTTCATGCATGCTAAGCAAACACTTTTTAGCCATTGTGCCACAATCCCAGGCTCCACCTTTGTTCATTGGAAGAGGGAAGCTTGCTGAGCTAGGCACAGGTATACACACACCTTTCTGGGGAGGCAGAGGCAGAGGACTGCTTGGTCCCCTGCACGGAACATAATAATGAAAACCAAGTAAAACCCGTTGCTGTTTTCTAGGGACTGCATTGACTTTACAGACTCATTTGGGGGAATTGCCATGGTAACCTGAAGACTCTGATCACAAGTGTGGCTATACTCTTCCTTTGCTCATGCCTAGTTTCTCTCAGCAGCATTATAATTTCTTGTGTACAAATCTTGGTTCTTTGTGAAATTATTAAACATCCGGTTTTGGTGCTGTAAATGAAACTTTATTTCATCCATTGGTTTTTCCTTAATAGTATACAGAGACACAAGTAAGAATCTTACTTATTTTGTGATTGTTTTGTTTGAAACAAAGTCTCACTCATTATGCAACCCAGGATGGCCTGGATATAGTGCAGGCTGGTCGTGAACTCATGACAGTTCTCCAGCTTCCGCCTGCCAGTGCTGAGATTACTGATGAGTCACTATGCCTAGTACAACCTGAATTTCTGAGTATTTTTCATGATCTCTCAGCTTGTAATTTTCTTTAGCCTTTAGTGCCCCAGTGAGTGGCAAGAATGGGTGCCCGGCCTTGCTTCATGTCAGAGAGCATCGTCAGGCTCTCATGACTTGTTTCCCAAGGTGAGGTCATTCTGTTAGTTGAGAATTGGGATGTGGGTTGATGCTGAATTTCCAGATGCATTTGATGACAGTACTCTCTGACCAGTGTGTTCTTTCTGCCCTTTATTGGTGTGTGTTATATTGGTTTTGGATGTTAGTCTTGTACTCCTGGGACAAATGGCAACTGGCTATGGGGAATACCTTTTTTAAAAAATTAACATTACTGAACTGTTTGCTCATATTTGAGACTGGGTCTCACCATGTGGCCCTGGCTGGCCTAAAACTGGCAGAGATTTGCCTGCCTCTGCCTCTTGAGTGCTAGGTCAAAGAATTGTGCTACCATGCCTGGACTGCCAATGGTTTTGGCACCAATGTTCATGATGGACGGGTGTTCCCTATAGCTTTGGTATCAGGACAGTGGCCTAATGGAATGAACCAGGTGTGTCCTCTTCTCCTTCTGTCATGGGAGGCAGACACTCTTCTTTGGGTCTGAGCTCTCAGCATGTGTTCCTAGAAGGCTGTCTGACTCACAGTCCTTGCTTGTGGACCCAGGTATAATGTATTGTGTTTGCATATCTGCACACCAGAGGGAATTGGACCTCATGGGACTATGGTTACAGATGGTTGTGAGCTGCCACATAGGTACTGGGAGCTGAACTCAGAGGACTTCTGGAAGAGCAGCCAGTGTTCTTAATTTGGAAGTTTGTCTGGGTTGACCTTTTAAAAAAAACTGATTTTTGGCTTTGCAGGTTTTCTCTATTTTCACCGTTTTCTTTGATTCACTGCTACTTTTCTCCTGAGTTCTATTTGCTTTGGGCTTTCTGGTCTTTTCCCAGAGGTGGATGTTGGCTTTGAGCATGAGTTTAAACTATTGCTCCAGCTCCAAACCTGCTACTATAAGTAACTTTTCCTTCCCTCTTCCCTTTTAAAAAATTTACCTTTTCTGTATATGGATGTTTTGCCTGCATGTATGTCTGTACAGTCTGTGCAGTGCCAAGAGGAGCCAGAAGAGAGAGCATCAGATGCTCTGAAACAGGAGTTGCAGGAGGTTGTGTGCTGCCTTGTGGACACTGGAAATCAAACCCTGGTCCTCTGCAAGAGCAGCAAGCACTCTTAATTGCTGACCCATCTCTCCAGGCTGCCATTTCCCTTTTTTCTTTGAGGCAGCATCTCACTTTTTAACTGTGGCTGGCCTCCAACTCTCTCCACCCTTTCTCCCTCCACCTCCCATGTACTGGGATTATAGGCATCTGCTACCATGTCTATTTCTACACTACTTGTTGTGTTTCTCTTTTCCATTGTTAATTTTGCCTTTTGTACTTTGGGACAGTGTTGCTAGGAGTGATTACTATAGCTCCATGACAGATGGGTATACTTATTTTTAAAAAGATGGTGTGTGTGGGGTCTCTCTACATAGCTTTGGCTGTCCTTGAACTATGTAGACCTACAGAGTTCTGCATGCTTCTGTCTCTGGAATGCTGGGATTAGAGGTGTGCATTACTACGCCTGGCCTGTCTAATGACACCTTTAATGAATACTTTTTCAGGTATTACTAGAGCTATACAACCCTTAAGATTTCTGTTTGCACATGCAGAATGTTTTCTTCACTTTACTTCTAAACTCGTGTTTCTGGTAGACTGCACATAGTTGGATTATTATTTTTTTTTTGCTAGTCTCTATCTTTTGATTGTGGGGTTGATTGCTTTGAAATTCAATATAATTTTTGTGAGGGGGGGCAATATGGTTGAATATTGCCACCCAAATGATTATCAGAGTCCATTTAGCTAATATGGCTGGTTAATTATCCTTTTCCTCCTCCTCATGTTCCATGATCATCCGTGCCAAAGTAGATGGGGGCTGTTCTGTGCAGAGCTGGCCTCCCCTGATAAACCCTGTAATAGGTCTTAAATTTGATATAACTTTTGTTGATTTGTTTAATACCTTCTACTATGTGGAACAGCATGCCATTTTTGTAGCATATATGTATATGTCCTATATAGAGTGGTTAAATTAGTACATTTGATACACTGAAATCTGCGTTTAAAAATGGTAAGTATATTTATGTTTCTCTGTAACAGATATCCAAATATTTTCATCCCACCCACCCGTCTCTGGGCTACTTTATTCTGTATGTGTGTGAGAGAGAAAGAGAGAGGGGCTATTGGTCAAAAGCCACCTGGGCTGACTCCACTTCCTGCCTACTGTGAAGAATGTTCCTGTGAGCTCAGGGCACAGTCACACTCAGCTTTCAGTTCTTCGGGAGATGCATCTGGAGTGGATCTATGGATCATATTTAAACCTATTTTTTTTTAGAATAACAAAAAATATTTTACTAAAACATAAGATTTACAGAAGTTTCCAGACAAGCCATACAAAATGATCACAAGCTTTGTTTCTTCTTCTTTTGGGGGTAGGGCAGAGAATCTACATTTAACAGCAAAGTCACAATGTTATTAGTGAGGGCTGTGATGTTTATTTAATGTTCCCATTTTGGTTCAGACAATCAAGCTTGTCCATCTACAGTGTCTAAAGTTAGACTTGGCTAGAAAGCATATTCTAAAAAAACTGGTTAGCTGCATTTAACCTCTGCAATTAGATCCCATAAGAGGGGGAAAGGAGACCATAAAATTAAAATAAAACTATTTTCCCCCTAAAAAATAAAAACACCCATACCCCTGGCAGCTAACACTGACAACTACCTTCAATCACAGTGCTTTGTACTTAAACCACGATGGGGAAACAAATCCAAGCAGAGCCGCTGCTTTTAAACATTTCACAACAACCCGGATGATACTTCTAGCCTCTGCTCATGCTTTACAACAGTGAATCAGGACAAGACATAGATTTGCTAATGTGCATGTAATCACCAAAGATGAAGATACCTGGGCTACCTGGGCTTTTATTCTGTAATGTTTCTAAGACTGTGTCCATTAAATGCAAAAAAAAAAAAAAAAAAAAAAAAAGAGTCTTGGCAGAACAGGAGAAGTGATGTACACTTGATGGTCTGATCAACTTAAATATTATTCATGGCATATAGCCTAGTCCATGCTCTTGCTGTTTCTATGGCTTGGGCTTCATTGGTCTTCCACTGCTTGGCTACATCATTTGCTAATGGATCATCTGGATTAGGAGCACTTAACAAAGCCTGGATTGATAGCAGAACTGTGCGGATCTGCAGTGCTGGGGACCACTTATCTTTCAAAATATCTAAACATATTCTTCCCAACTTGTCTACATTAGGATGATAAATTTTGGTCATGAAACATACTTTAGGTGCTGCCATTGGGTATTCTTCTGGAAGGAATAGTTCAAGTTTAAAAGTCCCTCCCTCAAAGGGGGAGTCCTGGGGGCCAGCAATGACCACATGAAAATAACGGGCGTTGCTCTCATCTGGTTCTGCTTTAATGCCGGGAACTGGGTCTGCCAGCAAACGCTGGGCTTCCTTGATAATCCTGCGGGGCAGCCCGGCCATCTTGTCAGATCCCAAGTTTGGCCTCTGCTCTTGTCTCTCATATTTAAACCTATTTAAAGTTTTTTTTTTTTTTTTTTTTTTAAAGGGAGAGATGGCTTAGTGGTTAAGAGTGCTTACTGCTCTTCCAGGGGACCTGAGTCTGTCCCCAGCACTCAAGCCAGATAGTTCATGACTGCTTGAGGCATCAACTCCAAGAGATACAATGTTCTTTTCTGGTCTTCACAGGCACCTGTGTACATGTGGTACACATGTGACAAACACTCAAATAAACCCTGAAAAGGTTTTGGTGGAACTGTTTTCATGGCAGCAAGCCGTTGTCGCATCCCCGGCACAGTGCAGGGAGCTCTGCCTGCACATCCTTGGCACCGTCACTGTGGCATCTTGCTGTGCTCTGCCATTCCCTATCAGTGATGCTGACTAGCATCCATGCTCTCAGGATTCCTGTGTCATCTTTGGAGAGATGTCTAAGTACTTCGCTCGCTTTAAAGTAGGCTTTGCTGCTGCAGAGTTGGGCTCTTTATATGTTTTAGATATCAACCCCTTACCAGACATAGATATGCATTTACGACTTATGCTATCATATTCATGGTTGTCCTAAGGATATCTAGCTAGCTAGAAATCTGTAAAATTCTGGTAATGTCTAGAAGCTTGGTTTTAATGGCAACTGTCTTCGTCACATATATTACATTTAAGCTATATTTTTTAAAACTTGCTTTTATATTTATGGGGGGAGTGTGTGCCAGTGTACATCTCTGGTAGTCAGCAGACAACTCACTGGAGTTGGTTCTTTCTGTCCACCATGTGGGTTCTGGGGATTGAACTTGGGTTGTTAGACTTGCCGGTAAGTCTTTACCTGTTGAGCCATCTTGGGAGTCAATTCTATCTGATTTTTTGAGATGAGGTCTCATTATGTATCCAGGTTGCTTTGAACTTGGGATCTTCCTGGCAAGGCAGGTATAACTACACCTGGCAGAACTGTGGGTCTATTGGTGGCTACAGAAAAGAGAATACAATTTTTATATTATCAACGTTATCTCCTTTCCTGGAGCCTCCTCTTTGTAGATTTGAATTGCTACTTGAAATCATCTTTTTTACCTGAATGACTAACTGCCGGTAACAACTGTAGGCTGGCCCACTGTCCTGTATTTATTACCTTTTGTGGGAATGTCTTTATTTTATCTCCACTTATTTCAGAGATAGTTTTGCTTTCCTTATGGCTCTTTGTCTCCCCCCCCCCCCGCCCCCCACACATAGGGTTTCTCTGTTTAGCTCTGGCTGTCCTGGAACTCACCCTGTAAATCAGGCTGGCCTTTGCCTTGAACTCAGAGATCTGCCTGCCTCTGCCTCTGTCTCTTGTGTGCTGGGATTAAATGTGTGTGCTACCACTGTCTGGCTTTTCTTTTTTAAAAATGACTTATTATTTAAAAAAAAACAAAAAACGTATGCATGTGTCACATATGTGCACCAAGTGCCTGAAGAGGCCAGATGAGGGTACCAACCCTCTGGAGCTTGAATCTGCCCAGTGTGGGTGGTGGGAACTGAACTCAGATACTCTGGAATAGCAATTGCTCACTGCTCAGCCATCTCTCCAGCCCATCCTTATGATTCTCAGTTGTTCCCCCCCCACACACACGGTGTTAGTTTGTTGTCTCCTGGTGAATGTTTTGCTGTCCTGTTTGGTTTTTCTCAGGGTCTCATCTTTCAGTCGTTTGAATGTTTATTCCTTTTGGTGTTTGTGGAGCTGCCTGGCTAGGGAAGTTAATGTTTATCTCTGACTAGGCAGTTTTCTTCCAGTATCTTTCTGCCTCTTCCCTTCCTCTCCTCTGGCTCTATAGGCACACTCAGGGTTGCTGTCTCAGGTTGCTGTTTATTCTTGTTTTCCTGATTCTTCACATTAGATGGTTCTACGACTGTCTTCAGGTTACACATCTGTTTTCTTCAGGGTCTGTCCACAGTCTAGCACATTTCAGATGTTTCTGTTTCAGATAGGGTCTCTGTGAAGAGTCACAGTGCAGTAATTTCCTGCCTTTGCAGGCATATACCCAGCTACTAGGATGTCCTTTAAAAATATTTGTTCCTTTACTGAGATTCTCTATCATTGTTGCACACTTTAAGAGGTCTCCTTTCATGGATTCTGTATGTGTGACTGTGAATTTAACACAACAGAGCCTTGTATATGTTAAGCACATGCTGTCACTGAGTCATATTCCCAACTCTGATCATTTTTCTGATAGATGACTTGAGGTCTCTGAGTCCAACACCTGTGTACACACAGAGGATTTCTTTGGCTTTCCCCTTGATAAGTTTTTCTTTGACGGTATCAGTTTTGGTTGAGAAAAATGGATATTAATATTAGAGTTTCTCAATTCTCCCTTTGCTAAGGAGGGTCTTCCTTGTTACTATCATTACTATGCTTGGTTAAGGGCAGCTCTCATACAGTTCAGACTAGCCTTGAATTTGCTGTGTAACCAAGGTAGCCTTCAGCTCCTGATCTTCCTGTTCCTACCTCCCAAGAGCTGTATTTCTTTCTTAACATCTTGGCTTAATCTGTGGATTCCGTTTCCCATATTGCACAGAGGCAATATCCCACCCTTTTCCATTTTATAGAAAATTTGAAGATGAGTTTCATAATTCACCCTGTGCCTAGTAGCCAATGATTTGAGTAGATATTCCAAGCCAGGCCCTCCTTTATTTTCTGTTTGTATGTTTATATGAGGGTGCATATTCAGCTTGGAAGTCAGCCCTAACTTGTATTTTTGGAGGAGTCCTCTTGCATTTCCTTATGTGCTCAGTTATTCTAGTGGATGTATGGAAAACATAGCAAGATCTCTGTGGCTGCTTCATTTCCCATTCTGACGATGTTTAGGTTGCTGGTATGATGCCAGGCTAGCTGGGCACTATTCACACATTCACCAGTTAACTACTGTTATTGTCAATGCCACTGGGCATGGGATGTTTGGACTTCAGCTTTATTCATGATCCCAGATTACAATGATTTTAGAGCTTAATGAAATCATTGGGGTCTCCGCATTCCTTTCTCTTGCATCTCACAGAAAGCAAGTCATACTCCAGAAGGCGCTTAAGCCCTTTTGTGAAGGTAGCCAGGCTCAGTGGCTAGCCTTCTATGGGGTTGCATTGTTCCTCATCATCACTTCTGCTTGATATTCATGTCTACTCAATGCTTAGATGATCCCTGGACCAAAAGGGATAATTCCCTGACAATGTCCTGTGAGTGATGATGGGTCCTTGGTCTTCTAAGAAATGAACAGGTAGGATGGTTAAGATGGCTCAGTGGGTAAACGTGCTTGCCACACAACTTAATGACCTACATTTGGTGCCCTGAACCCTTGTTGTCCTCTAACCTCCACACATGCACCATGACATATTTGTGCCCTGAGAACCTGCTAGTAACACCCAGCGACAGAGCCGTGGTAACTGATGTGACTTTTTGGAAAGCTGTTATTATCTGCACTGTGCAGGTGAAGGATCAGAATAAGAGTTCCACTCAGGCTCACCTAGTCAAGTTTTGAAGCAGGGTCTTGCTATGGCCCTAGGCTGGCCTGGAATTTGCTGTGACCTTGTTCTTGCCTCCAGAATGCCAGGATTACAGGTGTGCACGAGCATGTCCAGCTCCAACTGCGCTCTGTGAGGCGGCCATCAAAGGGCCTTGGTACTATAGGCAGAATGCTGCTAGCCTTTTCCTAAATCCAAGCCTGAGCCTTTAGTGTGGCTTCAGTTTCTCCTCATCTTTAGCAACCTTCCTGCTTACTCTGGAATAACCCAGTAATTCAGTCCCACTGTGGTCCAGCCCATCTACTTTCAGTCCCCACCTGGTGGATGAGATAGAGGTGCCATTATCCTGCTTTATCACCACCTACAGGGCACCCTTCTTTGGGAGATGTTGCTTACTGTAAAATACATTTATCAGATGAGATTGGGCGCGTTCAGGGTGGTATGGCCATAGACAAAAATACTACATTTATGAAGCTGTCCTAATACCATTGTTAACTGCCTACTAGAGTTTCCAGTCACCACAAGGCAGTGAATTAATGTCCAGGACTAGAAAAACTCCAGCAGACACAAAGACAACTCATGTCTGAGGCACTTGTATTTTTGAAATATAGAAAACAGCTGTTAGTTTACCATTATTTTTTGTACTACTTGTCCAGGGTGACCCTGCCAACTCATGAACAATACATACACAAGAGAGGTGAGCTTAGATCAGATTCTGTGGCACCCAGGACAGTGCTCCCTGGCCTAAAGCTTTCCACACACTGACCCACACTTAGAGGCATCTAAGAGCAGGGACGCTGGCTTCATGCCTGACACCTGCTTGCTCTTTCTACCAATTGCAAATGACTGCTTTGCTCCCATCCAGTACCCGGTGGATCTGAGTAACTGCAGCCATCCCACATCCCTCCTCTGTTCTGACCAGAGGCTTTGACTCTTAGCTGTCTGTGCTACTCACACTCAGAGGGCCTCAGTGCTCTTTGTCTCCCTGGGCAGATCAAGGGCAGTATGAGCCATTCCCAGAAGCATCTGCCAGTGCTAGTTGAGCACAGGGACAGCTGAAAGCCCATACTCTGGCCCTGGCTCTCGCCTGTTGACATGGTTTCTGTGTTGACTTGGGATCCCTGCTCACATGGAGAAGCTGCAGGCAGAGGAGAGTTCTCTGGATTTTGTGTCCCTCTCCTACTACTTCTTGTTCTGAGATAGTCTCATATATAGATCAGGGTAGCCTAGATCTCTGCCATGGACCACAATGGCCAGCTCAAGCCTTCCTTGTTGCTTCTTTCTAGAACACTGACTTAGGACAGTTCAAGTTAGTATTATATCTTGATATATCATTTCATTAAAAAAAAAAATCACTCCACTTTACAGATAACCCCCCTCCACCACCAGAACTGAGTTTAATAATCCACCAAGACCTCCTCCCACTCTGCTTTGCTTGTAATGCCAACTCCATTCACAGAGGACACAGAGCTGGTCCTGAGGAGCTGGGGAGGGTGTCAAGGTCACAACAATCATGTCATTCCTAATC